GTGGGGACATTTCTTTGAAAGGGAGGACATTTTTTTAAAAAGAAGGACACAAGAAAAGGCATTTTTAGAAAGTGGAGACTTTCTTTTTAGAAAGGTACGACACTTAGAAAGTGGGGACATGTTTAGAAAGAGAGGACACTGTAAATAAAAAAAGGACATTTTTAAAAAATAAGACAATTTTTTAAAAGTTAGGCCACTTTTAGAAAGTAGACATTTTTAGAAAGTGAGGATGATGTTGGGACAAAGAATTGTTGTGAAAGTGAGACCACTTTAAGTAAGTGAGGACAATGTTAGAGAATACATGACATTTTTTAGAAGTGATAGCATTTTTGGAAAGTGAGGACACTTTTCAAAAGTAGATATATTTTTATAAAGTGATGACATTTTTAAAAAGGGAGGACGATGTTAGAAAAAAACAGGAAGTTTCATAAAGTGACAACAACTTTGAAAAGAAGGACTTTTGTGGGAAGTAGGGACGTGCACAGATGTCCTTACACAGTGACCAGCTGTTTTTAGAAAATGCTTTAACACGCATTTTACTCAGGTTGTGTTTCAACAAATATGCGTAATCAGTGCCGTCAGGTGGTTTGGACATGTCCCACGTAACTGCAACATCCTGAGTGTCTCAATCTTCAGCTTCTGTTGTCTTTGTTTTAACTTTGAGCCTCAGGCATCTCCTTCTCCATCATATTCATCAGCCTGTAAACGTCCACACCTAAACGCACCAAACTTATGTTTTATATTAAATCCAGTGTTTACGTACAATAGTTAAAACATCTAAAATAAAAGACACCAAACTGCAAGAGCGGTAAAATGTAAAGGTTCATGTGAGAAAAACTTTGTTAAAATAAAGTTCTTCATCACAGCTGAAGATCATCAGTCTGAACGAAGCTGCAGCTTTAACACTCGTCCAGCTGACTGAATGCTGCTGGAGGGACGCCACACGTCTTATCCCTGTCACTCACTCATTCATTCATTCATTCACTCATGCTCCTGCTGTTTTCTTCCTCTAAAGAGAAGAAGAAGAGGATTTTGGGGGATTAGAGGAAGATTATAGAAACACACACACTGAGCCGTCGCTCCCTGCTGAGTCAGCCCGACTGCTGCTGAATGACTGCAGAAAGATGAGATGTGTGTTGATGTGACCCCGACTGAGCTGCAGGAGAAAAGGTGAATGAAGCTGAGTGACGGCGTGAAAGGATGAGTGAGAGAGTGTGTGTGTTGCCCTGCATGGTGTTAATTCTCTGCAGCAGTTTAAGGTTGGAAACATTTAGAGGATAAAAAACTAAATCAGCATCCTGTGAACAGGAGATACTGCAGCCTAAAACTCCGCCCCCACACTGATCTTAAATCAGTGATCATTGATAATAACTTATGATTAGTGACTACTTTTAATTTTTACGACTGTTGACTTGTGGTGTCCTGACTGTGACTCCACCATGAATGACTCCATCACCTCCATCAGGTTAAACATCTGGATTTAGTTGCCCTGATTCAGATGGTGGGGGTAATTCAGTAGTAAGAAAACAACAAAGTCTCTGGATTATCTTGAGTTCTTCTTGGTGTGGAAGAAGTTGACTGGTCTCCCTAAGCCCCGTCTCCACCAAACCCTTTCAGTCCAGCACCTTTGGAACCAGCAGTAAGCCTTCAGACATGGTACCTAGACCCTCGGTGTGTTCAGACAGTCCTCTTAAATGTGGGCGGGGTTGTTGTCACTCACTGCTCCGTCCAGCACTCGCTGTATTTCCTCATCAGCGGTGACACAGATGGAAGTCTGCACCTGGTTTATCGTCCACAGAACGAGGCTGCACGCCCACATTTTCACAACAAAATAGAACAGGCTGCAGTGAGAGTCTCTCTCCATGGGATATTTAAAAATAGCAGCTTTGTGCATTTAGTCCTTCTCAGGCAAGCTCAGGGGTTTAGTGTTGCTGTAGCCCACAGGAAGTGAGGATTAGAATATATGACCTTCACATAATCCGCTCCAAATTCATCTATATTTTTAAAGTCATTACTAAAAGTGTGTGTCATATAAAAACTAAAGTGATGGTCAAAGTTGTCACAGTGAAATTTAAGGTGTGCTGATGGATTCACGTCATCAACTCATGCATTGAGTAACATTACAAGTTAACGTTCCACCTTAAAAGTTGCCGGCAGTCGGCCCAGTGAATGAAGTTATTTTTTTCTCTTTCATTTTATAGTTGTAGTTTACTGATGTATGAACAGAGGTTACATAAAACCAGAGTGAGCGTCCTCTACTGACCAATCAGACTGCAGGGTTTCTAGCTCCACCTTTTAGTACCAGATCTGTGTGCTAGGTACCCCAACAGAGGGGGGACCAAACATGGGGACGGTGAGGAACGCTTCTTTTTTTTTTTTTTTTTTTTTCCTACTTGTCTGCATTGGTCTTCATAGTTTAGCGCCACTAAAGGGTGTAAGCTTCTTGTGAAGATTGATGCACTGTTAATCTTGCAGTCAAGTATTTTATACCCATAATGCGTGGTTGCGACCATCACCCACCCTCCCTGGAGACTAGCCTAACAGCCTTTATTGGAAAAACTTCCTAATATGAGTCAGAGAGGGCCGTGATAGGAACGCTTCTGTTGGGACCATCCACAACTTTCACTGTGGAGACAGAAACTATGAACTGAACTGAACCAAATTGCTCGGTGGAAACAGGGTGTTAAGACTGCTAACCTCAACCCCGTCCAGAACCTTTTGGATGAACTGGACTGTGAGTCAGATCTGATCAACATTACACTGTCCACATACTTTTGGCCATGCTGTGTAATCTGTCTGAATATATGAAGTGGGAAGAAGTCCCAAGAATGTCCCCACAATGTCCCAAGAAATCTAAAGATGATGAAAGAATTGCGGTCGAGTTGTATACAGTCCAACTTTGGGAGTTGGTGTGTGTGTTGGTGCGTGCAGAGACGACAGAAGGGGAATAAAAAGAAAAGAATAATGAGTGATGAGATGTCATTTATCATTTATCTCCTTTTATCCTCCCTGACAGACAGACAGAGAGAGAATGTGTTGCACAAAGACAACAACATCATGACAAACGATTCAGCGGACGACCTGCAGCTCTCACACTGATTAATGAACACACACACACACACACACGCACACACACACACGCACACACATACTTGTTCCCATGCTGTCTGCATGTGATGAATGTTAATCACAATCTTTCATCCTCAGCTTGTTGTCTGACTGACGCTGAGACGTTTTGTGTTTGTGGGAAAACAAGTTCGTGTTTCATTAAAGGATCAGTTTCACATCAGTCGTACCTCTCCACGCAGACAGTTCATTCATCCAGGTTTTCAGATTTCTGCCTCCACACAATACAACAAAGATAACAGAAATTCTGCTGATCATTTAAAATCCAACAGTCTCTTTTAAGAAACCAGATTTCCCCGCTGAGAAACAAAAATGGACGCAGCTTAAACTCTGAAAAAAAGATAGGAAATGGACCTTGACAAACATCTTGTCAACAGCTTTTATAAGAAGTATGGTATTTTCTCTTAAGCCCCTCCCCCACTGCACAAAAAACCTGGTAACACCTGTTTACATCTGGCTTTAATATGTAATGGGAAAGGTTACAATCTGCATTCACACCCGTATCCCGACTCTGCAGCAGTCACAGGTATTTATCGGTTCCAGCTCCGATAGGCAGTGAAGGAAATACAACACCCAGGTGAACATGCTAATTTTAGCTCCTTAACTGGCGAGATGTGATGACTCGCTGCCACAAGAGTTTGAAAGAGAGACTGAGTAAGTAAGAGATCTACAAAAAGAGGTAACCACTGTAATACTTTCACTGGCCTCCATGCTGCTTTCTACTGTTTACTAACCTGTTTTAAGCCTGTCCGTGACGTCAAACATGACACACCAAAAAACAAACAAACAAACAAACAGAAAGACATACTCATCTGCTGTCTACTGGCTATGGGAAAGGAGTCTATCACCTATTTTTTTAACAGGGTTACCTGTGTTTTAAAATACCTGCATACACACTAGTTTTGGAGGAAAAGGAGTATTAGAGGAATACTGCCAACTTAGTATTGGCAATGTTTGATATTTATTTACATTTTTTCAGGTTTTTGTACGACGTAATTTTTACCCATGTCTTAAAAAGTGTTTCATAAAACTCTGGAGGTGAGTTTCATGAACAGTATGCACAAAATTCTTCATCAAAATAACCAATAACATTTTTGTTCCGGACTGTAATACCTCAACAACTACTTCATGGACTAACTTGAGACTTGGGACGAACACTCATGGTCCTGTGTGTCTTAAATAACAAAGGATCTACCCCTGTTTGACCACAGTTAGCAGAAGCAACTGAACTACTTCAAATTAGATGTGGAGTTTATTTTTCTGTCTCTGCTGTTTGTTTTTAAATCTCCTTGAATAAAGACGGTGTTCCACTAGACTCGATGCTTGGACATTTGCTTTTTCATCCAATGAGCCAACACTTTGATCCTGACTGAAGGTTTTCAACAACTACTGGATGGATTGCCATAAAATTTGGGACAGACATTCAAGGTCTTAAGTGTGTTAAAATAAAGGAATAAAAGCTCCTCCCCTGTTTAATACAGTTGAACCAAAGCGTATGTTTTTTGGTAAAACACCTAAACTAACTGCAGAAATGGACCACGGTGCTGCTGGTGTCTGGTAAAGTCATTGGTAGGTCTGAAGTAGTTGTTTTTTTAGTTTATAATGTATTGCATTATCTACACATTTATTTATGCATGTGACAGTTTTTGTTATTGATATGGTTTACATTTCTGTCTTTTTTTTTGAAATTTCATAATTTTGAGACATCTTGTGGTCTTTCTCAATATGATATTTGGATCCAAAAAACTCCTGGAATTGACATTTAAAACAAAATGTTGTAACTAAGAACAAGGAAACAAATGTTTCAGAACTGTCATTAACACTTCAGCACAAACACAATGAATAACATTAACTTACAACAAACAGAAGATTTGTTCCCAAAAATATTTTTAATTTGTCACTTCAGTTTAGTATCTACAAAATCATACAGAAGTTAATAACTCTTTTAATGCATTCAGTGATTTTCTGTCTAAGCAGAAGAATCAAACTTCTACAATAAAATAATCAAAGATGGCAGAGGAGTCATTTTTTTCTTTACATGTTATAGTTGCTTGAATTTTTGAGTTTTAGAGATATTTTGGAGATATTTCCAAAATGTGCAAAGAGAAATAACATGAGAAAATGTTGACATTGAATTGGTTGTAGTGATACAAAAAGCACTCATGGTTCCACATTAAGGCTTCACATGGAGAACAGAGAGTTTGACCATAATCCTGTAAACTTTGTAATGTACCGAAAAGGTCAAGAGAAGATGAGAAACAGAAAACAATGTCTGAATAATGCACTTACAGTTTGATTCAGTCACAAAAAGAGAAATGGCAATTTAAAAAGGGTCAGTGGTTTAAATCCCAGGTTGGAACATCTAAAGGTGTAATAACGATAAGCTGCCCATGAACAAGGCACTTCAACTGTTAGTTGTCCCAGTAGAAGATGACCTAATCTTCCCTGTGTTGTTTTTCTGTGTATCCTAAGTATGTTACATGATATATATCAATAAAAACATCACATCATAACTGCTGTCCAGACATTTACCTCATCTACCTGTTAATACAATACAATGTTTGCTCAGTATTTGGCTGCAAGTGCACGAGAGAAAGTGGCGTCGATGTTAATTATATGCACAAAAACAGTGTTCTGTTCTCTCACAAGCTGCATCACTGATAGATTTTATAGCTTATTTTGCAGCCGAAGCATTTATGACTGGTGTGAGCGAATCCCCAAATAAACTGTCTCAATCAGAGACTAAGAACAAAAACTGGTTTTCTTCCAATATAAAGAAGGTAGGGCTTGTTGTTGTCTCTGTTGATTGATTTAAGTGTTAAAGTAAAAAGACCTTCTGGCATTCCACAAGGCTCAATGCTTGAACCTCTGCTTTTGTCACCCTACTAGTGACATTTTGTTCCAGGGTAAAATATCTTCTGGGAGAATTACACTGAAATTTGGAACAGACGTTCATGTCTTCAAGAAAACAAAAGAAAACAAGCTCCTCTGTGGATTAATATTGCAGAGTTTGACCAGAGTCAGCTGAGCTGAGTTTTTACAGTTTTATTGGTTGTTTTATAACTGTTAATAGGACCTAACACTCTCTGGTGTTCCACTAGTATCAATTCTTGCGTTTTCACAGCAACTTGCAACACTTTGGTCCACACTGAAAGATCTCAAAAACTACTGGATAGATTAATATAAAATTTGGGGTCTTGGGTCAAGGTCTTGGGTGTCTTAAAATAACAAAGGAAAACAAGTTATACCCCTGTTTGATATTGCAGAGTTTAATCAGAATCAGCCAAAGAACCTTGAGCCTTTTTGCTTGTGTGTGTGTGTTGTTTTTTTTTTGTTGTTGTTGTTTTTAAATCTACTAAAATGAAAATGGTGTTCCACTTGGCTCAATGCTTGGACCTTTGCTATTTTGCCCAGCTAGCCAACATTTTGGATGGATTACCACATAAATTGAGACAGTCAATTCGAGGTCGTAAGTGTGTTAAAATAAAGGAAAAAAAGCTCCTACCCTGGTATAAAACCCAGGTCTAGACTCAAATGCCTCAACAACTACTGGAAGGATTACCATGAAATTCAGGACGGATATTTAAGGTATTGAGTAGCTTAAAACAAAAAAGAAATACAAATTCTACCCCTGTTTGATATTCCAGAGTTTGAACTGGGTTAGCCAAAGAGCTTGAACTGCTTTGACTTTGACTGTTTTTGCAGTTTACTTTTAATCTACTACTGACATTTTGGTCCAGACTGAAATAACAACTACTGAGTGGATTACCATAAAATTTGGGACAGACAATCAGGATCTTGAGCGTCTGTCTCTTCACCTGTTTCTTTTAGTTCGTAGCAGAACCATAACTATTTCATATAAAAAAGTGTGGAGCCTTTACATTATATATTTGGACCTTTGTCCCACATGAAGTGAGGACGGACTCAACAACAATCCCTGCTGATTTAAAAAAAACAACAACAACTTGTGTTTAGACCCAAATATTTCCTGAAGGAATGTCTGATATTTGTCTCAGACAAAAGAAAGCATCTAAAATTACTAAAACATGCTCAAAAATGAGCAACAAATGCTCGCAGATCTTTTCCTGCACACATACATCAAACAGGCCTGACATGTTTTTCTGGGGGTTGCATGAAGAATTAGGTGGAAAACATTGTTTCCCAGTGATGGATTGTTTCTCCAACTAATTAACTCACAAATCTTGCAGATATTTCTTGGGAATCGCAGGGTCGGAGCTTTGGGAAGCGGCAATATGCTGGACAGATGTGAATCTCAAAGCTCTGCTCTCAAACTTCGTCATCATTAAGATGTGAGCGCATTTCCACACAACACTGCAGCTCGTGTCTTTTTTCAATTTGGTTTTATGGAAACAAGAAATGAGCTGGAATTTACAGCCTCGATTTTAACACCTCGCTCTGCAAATGCAACCACTTCAGTGTCTTTAAATCCCACAGACATACTGATGTTTTTTTTATTCGTCCCATGTGACTGTTTTTATTGGTCTGATTTACACTCATGAAACTCTGCTTTCAATTCACGTCTGGACGGATTTGTTTTGTTGTCATTTATGATGCTTTTATTGTGTGTAAAAGTCTTTGTACGTCTGTTTAGAAGACCATTGTTTTGTTATTGTTCCAGGCAGACCGTCTAATGTGGTTCTCTTATGTGTCTGGGCTCGACCATGTGAGCAAATGTTTTTTGGATTCAGCAGAAGGTCACAAATCCAACAGCAAGAGTTCAGATTAAATACTGAATTCATCCCAGAAAGGTCAAAGTCAAGGGTAACAGCAACAGTAGCTCAACAGTTTTCCTGGAACTCAAAAATGGACGCCAGGAAAGAGTTGGACATCCAAAGAGAGTCAGGTTTCATCTTTACTGATGAGAGCAAACTGCGGCAGCGTGAGGAGGAAGATTTGGGAAAGGGGGATATGATTCAGAGGAGGTGGGTGAGATGAGTTTTCAGCCACGACGGAAGCTGCGGAGTGACTCCGACTGCAGCTTCAGTCTGTTTGCAATTATGGATAAACAGACTGGAAGCCAGAGAGCTGGTTTTGGTGGAAGGAGACACACATTCCTGCGGGGCGGCGAACATCGGAGCCGGGTCGTGTCGAGGTGAATCAGCCGGGGGAAACCAGGCGTCCCGCCCGCTCGGCCTGAGTCTCTGATGTCTGACTGGAGCGTCTCACAGATCATGGCAGATACTTTGTTTACCCTCCGAGGGAAACCCAAACCACCACCGCTCCTCCTTTAGAAGGAAGTCAGAGGTCAGGAGCAGCTCGCCTGAAGCTGGTGAGGAACTCAGGTCCAGATTGTGAAGTCTACGTGGACGTTTACCCCCAAAAATGTTCCCTTTACCCAAAAACTGGTCCAAGCTACAGAGACAGTTAAAGGAACAGTTCAGCCTAAGCATAAGTTGTATATCATCCTCACCTCACTGGGCTCTCTGTGGTGCCAGGAAAAGCTTTCTATCAAACACTGTAAACAGACTTTGAAGGAGTCTGAACAAAGGCAGCAAATAAGGTTTTTAAAAAGGAAGTTCTTGTAAACACATGCAGACAATGAGTTCCTTCGCAGCAGGATGATCCTTAAAATGCTTCCTTTAGCACCCACTTTGGTGAAAATAGTAGTGTTTGGATTTCAAAGAGCTCACAACTGGATTCAAGACACTTATAACGCTGCACAGGAATCTTCAAAACACTTCTTTGGATGTTTCATAACCTTCCTTACTTCCTTTCGTTTGGACTCCATCATAGTCTGTTTCAGCCTCTACAGGGTGTGACGATGCTAGATGCCACCATGTGGTAACTAGATGCCACCATGTGGTAACTAGCCACGATGCTAAAGTTAACGTTAGTCACCTCAGTTTACGTAGAGTGTGAAGGCTCGTTAGTTAGTTGAACCCTAACGAATCTCCCTCTCTGGGTTCTCCTCTCTCCTCTTCTTTTTTTTGCTCATAGTTTGATCATTTGGTTTATTATAAGTTGGATCTTATTTTTCTGTCAATCATTTCCATCATTTATATCAACATGAATTTAATGTGTCAGATCTGGGAACAGTTTTAAATCTGAACATGTGAGATTTGAGATGAGAAGCTGTGGAGCATCTGATCATCCTGAGGCTGTGTGAACTTTAGTGCAGCAGAATTGTTGTGGTGGTGTCTCCTGGTGAAGCTGATTAAAACACTGTTTGATGGAGTTTTATTGGACTGAAGCCTCTCGTTTGGTTCACAGAGTGAATCTGTGCTAAATCTCATGAGGCTCATCTGTGCCCGTGGACTGCAGGAATAAAACTCAGTGCACGAAACATAAATCTGTGACTGTGATCTTGTGTTCGTCAGGTTTGTACATGATGCATCAGTGATCTGTCTGTGTTTCTGCTGAGGTTAAACGTGTTGAGAACATCTCACCGGGAGGTTCCTTTACTGTCATGTGTCGTTGTTGTTGTTGTTTGTATTGTCTCTGTGTGTCTCAGTCCACCAGTGACTTGAGGTCTGGCAGTCCTTTGAGTTTCAGGTCCAGCAGCATCTGACCGTAAGCTTTACCCTGAGAACAGACAGGAAACGACACTGAGTCAAGACTGTGTTCGTTCTCACATGAACGTGTGTGTGTCTGCCTAAATGTGTCTGGATTTACACATTGTGAGTGTGTGTGTGTGTGTGTTGGAGTTTTACGGGTCAGTGCAAAAGAGTGAAGTGTGTGTGTTTCTTTGATGTGCTTTGGATTCCAGCGAAGCGGTAAAAAACTTTACAGGAGCATCTGAACAAAAGATGGAGAGGAGGAGGAGGAGGAGGAGGAGGAAGAGGAGGAGGAAGGAGAGTTACAGAGAGGAAGGTAAAGGCGTTAAAGAGGACAAGGGACTGTCACCGCCATGAAGAGGAGAGAGGAGGCTGTTGGGAGCTTTTTGCAGTGATGGAAGGATCAGATATTTTACTTTAAGTTGAAGTCACAACACCACAGACGGACTGAGCAGCAGTAACAGGGAACAGGAGGTCGCCGGTTCAAGTCTCCATACAGACCACGTATGGTGCGTGGACTAGCAGCTGGAGAGAAGTGTTAATTTTGATGGCTATTTAAGGTTAAGTCTGAGTCTGGAGACGAAAATCTTTATTAGTTTTAGTCAACGAAAATTTAAAATATTTTATTCTGTGAAAATTCAAAATGTTTTATTCGTTGAAAAGTCGTTAAGTTTTCTATCTGTTTTTATCTTTAATCTAGTGAGGCTAATTCATGTAAAAATGTTTTATTTGATGAAAATTTGAAATGTTTTAGTCGATGAGAATTTAAAACGTTTAAGACAACTTGAATTTAAAACGTGTTAGTCAACAAGAATTTAAAACGTTTTATTCAACGAGAATTTAAAACATTTTGTTCAACGAGAATTTAAAACGTTTTAGTCAACGAGAATTTAAAACGCTGTGTTCAATGAGAATTTAAAACGCTTTGTTCAACGAGAATTTAAAACGTTTTAGTTGATGAGAATTTAAAATGCTGTTTTAGTCGACTTGAATTTAAAACATGTTAGTCAAAGAGAATTTAAAACTTTTCAGTCGAAGAGAATTTAAAACATTTAGTCAACAAGAATTTAAAATGTTTTAGTCGACGTGAATTTAAAAAGTTTGTCGACATGAATTTAAAACGTTTTAGTCGACAAGAATTTAAAACGTTTTTTTCAATGAGAATTTAAAACGTTTTAGTCGATGAGAATTCAAAATGTTTCAGACGACGAGAATTTAAAACGTTTTTTTCGACAAGAATTTAAAATGTGTTAGTCGAAGAGAATTTAAAACTTTTCAGTCGAACAGAATTTAAAACCTTTAGTCAACAAGAATTTAAAACGTTTTTTCAATGAGAATTTAAAACGTTTTAGTCAACGAGAATTTAAATGTTTTGTTCAACGACAATTTAAAACGTTTTAGTCGACGAGAATTCAAAATGTTTTAGACGACGAGAATTTAAAACGTTTTAGTTGACAAGAATTTAAAATGTGTTAGTCGAAGAGAATTTAAAACTTTTCAGTCGAACAGAATTTAAAACCTTTAGTCAACAAGAATTGAAAACGTTTTAGTCGACATGAATTTAAAACGTTTTATTCAATGAGAATTTAAAACGCTTTGTTCAACGAGAATTTAAAATGCTTTGTTCAACGAGAATTTAAAACGTTTTAGTCGATGAGAATTTGAAACGTTTTAGTTGACGAGAATGTAAAACATTTTAGTCGACGTGAATTTAAAACATGTTAGTCAAAGAGAATTTAAAACTTTTCAGTCGAAGAGAATTTAAAACATTTAGTCAACAAGAATTTAAAACGTTTTAGTCGACATAAATTTAAAACATTTTATTCAATGAGAATTTAAAACGTTTTAGTCGACGAGAATTCAAAACGTTTTAGACGAGAATTTAAAACGTTTTATTCAATGAGAATTTAAAACGTTTTAGGTGACAAAAATTCTAAATGTTTTAATCCACTAAAATTTAAAACGTTTTAGTCGCCAAATACTGAAAACATTTTAGTCAACGAAAATTCAAAAATGTTTTAATCAAAGAAACTTAAAAATGTTTTAGTCGATTCAGTGAGGCTAACTCATGGATCATAAATCAGACTCGAGGTGACAGGTTGTATAAAATAATGTGTGTGTCATGTCTCCAGCAGTGTGTGACAGGTTTAAGGGCTGATTTACGAGCACACACTTTCTGATCATCATTTGAAAAGCTCAACATCTCTCTATGTATGCTCTCAACAAATAACTAATGTGAGCCACTGTCTCATCTGGTTGACTTGGTGTGGGCCGGCAGGTTTTTAACTTTGCAGAGGCGAGCATTGACAGTAGTTGCCTGACAAAACTCGTCTCTTCGAGGTTTCACTCCCACACATCAGAGGAAATGTGTAATTGTGAAACTTCCCCACATCGAGCTGCAGATTCAGCTGCATATCAGTGACTGGACAGAAAGGGAGGAGACGAGGTGATGAAAGAGGAGACTTCAGAAACAGGAAGTGAAGAAAGGGTAGAAACTGTGTACTCTGTGTACTGTGTGTGTGTGTGTGTGTGTGTGTGTGTGTGTTACCTGGGGGTCACTGCGTAGAGACGCCACCCCTCCCCCTCCCAGTGAACTCTGCAGGACGAAGTTGAGGCCGTGGATCCCCGGCAGAGTGTACCTGCAGAAAGAACACCAAAAATACAAACATGTAACCATGGCAACGCAAACCTTCACACCTTTTAAAAACCACACACAGTCGAGTAACTGTGGTGACACACACACACACACACACACACACACACAGAGGCCTGCCAGCACAGCCTGGCACCATGTGTTGGTATGGCGGTTTACTGCACACGTTAATGTGTGTGTGTTTGATGTTTTAATGTGTGTGTGTGTGTGTGTGTGTGTGTGTGTGTGTTAGCAGTTGCAGAGGGGGGAGGGGTCAAACGTGATCATATGCAAAAACCTGAGTGTGTGCGTCTGCAAGCAGTTAAGTGTGTGTGTGTGTGTGTGTGTGTGTGTGTGTGCGGGGCCTCCTGCAGCTTTAACGAGTGGTCGGGGGTGCACTAATGAAGCGCCTGTTGCGGCAGGGAGGCGTCTCGGGGTGTGAGAGGAGACGCAGGTCAGCGAGCTTTACAACCTCCACCTCATAATTACGCTAATCGCTAACACACCGCCGCGCTGACTCACCGCTCAGACACGTCCGCCAGCTGCACACGTGTTCAGCCGTCTCCCTCCATCATACCTGCAGATTGAGAGCTAATGCAGCGTGACACTACTCGTCTTGTTTGTGCAGCTTAAAAGTGTAACTTCTGCTCAACAGCGCCCTCGTGGCCACACAGGGTAATTACAGAACATCTGCATTTCTCTCTATTGTTGTTCCTTTTTCTTTTTTCGTCTTGTTTTTACTTTGTGATTAAACATTGAAATAATCAACTAAGACAAGATGAAACGTGGTGTGACAGTGGCACAGGTAGAGAAAACTCCTGAAGTCTGTGAACTTAACTACAAATAAATATCCATCTGAAGTTAGCTAACATTAGCCACGCTAAGCTAATGATCCACCATTTTGTTCCAGACTGAAATGTCTCAACAACTGTTGGAGAATTGTCATGAAATTTTGTACACACATGCACGAGGCCCAGAGGATGCTTCCAACTGACCACTGAGACACTTTAGCCCCGTTTCAACCAAGCCGTTCAGTTCGCTACATTTTTTCTGTTCCCACAGTGAAAGTTGTGGATGGTCCCAACAGAAGCGTTCCTTAGCGTCCCCATGTTTGGTCCCCCCTCTGTTGGGGTACCTAGCACACAGATCTGGTACTAAAAGGTGGAGCTAGAAACCCTGCAGTCTGATTGGTCAGTAGAGGACGCTCACTCTGGTTTTATGTAACCTCTGTTCATACATCAGTAAACTACAACTATAAAATGAAAGAGAAAAAAATAACTTCATTCACTGGGCCGACTGCCGGCAACTTTTAAGGTGGAACGTTAACTTGTAATGTTACTCAATGCATGAGTTGATGACGTGAATCCATCAGCACACCTTAAATTTCACTGTGACAACTTTGATCATCACTTTAGTTTTTATATGACACACACTTTTAGTAATGACTTTAAAAATATAGATGAATTTGGAGCGGATTATGTGAAGGTCATATATTCTAATCCTCACTTCCTGTGGGCTACAGCAACACTAAACCCCTGAGCTTGCCTGAGAAGGACTAAATGCACAAAGCTGCTATTTTTAAATATCCCATGGAGAGAGACTCTCACTGCAGCCTGTTCTATTTTGTTGTGAAAATGTGGGCGTGCAGCCTCGTTCTGTGGACGATAAACCAGGTGCAGACTTCCATCTGTGTCACCGCTGATGAGGAAATACAGCGAGTGCTGGACGGAGCAGTGAGTGACAACAACCCCGCCCACATTTAAGAGGACTGTCTGAACACACCGAGGGTCTAGGTACCATGTCTGAAGGCTTACTGCTGGTTCCAAAGGTTCTGGACTGAAAGGGTTTGGTGGGGTGGTCTGAGACGTATTTGACCATGTCTTTGTCAGTGTAAATACTGATGCGACCTGATTTCTCTTTGACTTTGTGAAATCTTATGGAGTGGGACTAAACACTCACATTGTCTTTAGATGTGAGAACGTGTCTTTTCTAAGTCCTCTGATGTGTGGTAGACACAGGTCATAAAAACAAGTCAGTGAACTACAAACATTCCAAACTACTGCCGATAGAAAACAACTTGGTTCTGACACTTTCTAGAAGTAAAGAGGTGAAGGTAGGTGCCTGCATCGATCTAGAAAGATGTACGAGCTTTTAGTTTATATGCAACAGAAATATCCTTGATTTGAAGTGTGTTTAATGTAACTCAAAGATACTTCAGATAAGGAAATCAGGCTCAGTAGTGGTGTCTTTCTGTAAAGCTAAACATGTTCTCTTATTACAGTCCTTATTCTAAGACATAAATCAGTAGGAACTGGTACATTCGGCTGTACTGGATTCATAAATTTAACAGAGATTTATTCTGTGCAGCCTTTGACGGCTCAGCAGTGGTTCACGTTCTGCCAGCTGCCTCGGAGTATCTGTGATGTTGCAGAAAGCTCGTCCTCGTCTGTTGTTTGGTAAACTACAACCCTCCCTGTCTTCTGTTATGTCTGGGTTGCTGTGTCGTTACCTTGGAGCAGCACTGTGACAGTCAGTAATGTTTCTGGGGTTGTGTCTTGGTTTCAGTGGACGTTGTGTTCCTGGTTTGTCTCAGTCAGTTGTGGTTTTCTTCCTGACTGCAGTATGATGCTGTCGAACCGCAGTGACTTCAGCACTCTGTTAAGTCTTTGTCAGTGTGGTATCTGTGGGGTTTCAAAGCGGAGCCAGGAACATGGTTAAGATGTTTAAACGGGATTTTAGACTTCCTCTGGTTATACTGGCGAACACAATAACAAAGTAGAATTACCGCCCTGTGGTTGTATGACTCCGCCCACCAGTCCAGTGTCTTTGACAGTCTCCATCCATGTCATGAATTCTTCAGTTGTGGACAAAAATATGTTTTGTGAGGTCACAGTGACCTTTGAACACAAAATCTAATCAGTTTATTCTTTGGTCTAAGTGGACGTTTGTGTCAAATTTGAATAAATTACCTTAAGGCCTTCTTGAGATATTGCTTTCACAAGAGTGAGACAGATGAGGTCACACTGACCTTTGACCACAAAATCTAATCAGTTTATTATTCAAAGTGGACGTTTGTGTCAGATTTAAAGAAATTCCTGTCCTGTGTTCTTGAGATATTGTGTTCACAAGAATGAGACAGATGCAGGGTCACAGTGACCTTGACCTTTTACTATGAAATCCAATTAGTTCCTTGTTAAGTTCAAGTGGATGTTTTGCCAAATTTGAAGAAATTCCCTCAAGGTGCTCTTAAGATACTGTGTTTACAAGAAGGAGATGGATGCAAGGTCACACCAACCATGACCTTTGACCCTTGAATACCAAATCTAATCATTTCATCCTCGAGTCCAAGTGAACCTTTGCGCCAAATTTGAACAAATTCCCGCTAGGGGTTCTTGAGATATTGCGTTCAAGAAAATGAGGCAGACAAGGTCACAGTCACCTTGACCTTTGACCTATGACCACCAAATTGTAATCAGTTCACACTGTGACCTTCTGCATGTTCCTTGGACAATATTTTGCACATTTCTCCAAATTACAACCACCTTTAAAAACTAAAGATGCACCAACGCATCTCTCCTTGTCTTGTTGACTGCCATTGGCCTATTGGCAACTGGCTCGCATTTTGCAACCTGCAGAACTCTGTGTGTGATCGAAGCCTTACTGAACAATACGAGACATTTAACTTTGCTGTCTGACAGTTTATATATTCACTACCTGTGGACAGATGTCATGGTGGCTGCAGTTCATTCCCACATACTAATTACAGAGCTACTCTTTAAACACAGAGACATCACATGGGTCCTTACTGAATATAAATGGAGCCATCAAACGTCTGTAGTGACGGATTCATGAAAATGGTGAGTTGCAGTTTGGAGATGTGAAAACTTCAAGTTAAACTATGTCAAAAACAAGAGATAATTTAACTTGTTGTGACCTCGGAATGAAAAACCAAAGTGAGCTGCAGCATGAGGCAAGGAGTCGTCCTGCTGAGCTCGACAGATAAACAAGAGAAGAAGAAGAAAACAGAACACGGTGAGGTTAGTGTGGTTTTCCTACAGTTTGAGTAACGTGCTTCGTTTCCTGTGTGCGTTTCCTGTGTGCATTTCCGGCGTGTGTTTCCGGCGTGTGTTTCCGGCGTGTGTTTCCGGTGTGTGTGTGTGTGTGTGTGTGTGTGTGACTAATATCTGCTCAGCTGCAGATGGTGCATCTTGTTTTTCGGTGTGTTCGTGCTCTGTTGTGTCTTTTAGCTGAAGGCCGACGTCTGACAGTAATTACAGGAACCAAAGCCGCTAATCGCTGCTGCGGCATGCTCTCTGTGTGTGTGTGTGTGTGTGTGTGTGTGTGTGTGTGTTCAGTTGAAATGCTGTATGGAGGAGCTGCACACAAACACAACCACATCCTCTCTTTTACACAGACACGTACAGTAAACTGTTGTGCTGCTGATCACTGCTCTGATTTTTGATGATGTTCAAGAAAGAAATAATTTCTGTTCCTGTGGGTGTTCAGAGGCTGACGGCTTGAACAACATGATACTGGTTAAACTGTGTTTCTGGTGCAGTTTTTGTTTTCATGCAACAAGTCAAAGAGTTTGCAGTCATGCGAGCAGCTCTGTGAGGCTCAAGCCCCGTCTCCACCGAGCAGTACAGTTCATTGTTTCTGTCTCCACAGTGAAAATTTGTGAATGGTACCAACAGAAGCGTTGCTAGCGCTAGCTAATGTCTGTCTGTGGAGAGTTAACTTGCCAAACTGAGCTGCAGTATGAGGTGAGGAGTCGTCCCTCAGTTTTAAAAGCGACATCATACTGAAACATCTGAGATACGACTGCAGAGAAACAACAGATGAAATTTAGTTTACTGATGCGTAAGACAGAGTCAGACCTTCAGGTGTTTCCCACACAGACGTCAACACGTAAACCCTCACACACGGCTCTCTGCTCACCGTGTGACGGTGTTGTTCACTCCAGGCTGGATCAGATGAGAGAAGTATTCCTCCACCACAGAAGAAGTCAGGTGTTTCTTCAGGTAGGGAAAGAAGAGGGGGTGACGAGCTATCACTCCTGAAGGAAAAAGAAAACATGTCTTTGACTTGTAGATGATGCAGTTTGGTGCTTTCTAAATGTTATTTGCCATTTTCAATTTATTACAAATAAAGCTTCACTCTCTCTTTGATTTAAAACATGTCACCAGACTGAGGCCTCAGTTATCGTTAATATCAGACAGTGACAGTTCGTATTAAAGGTTTTTTGCTTTCTTGTTGAGAGTTAGAAGAGACGATCGATGCCACAGCCAGCAGCTGGTTAGTTTAGCTTAGCATAAAGACTGGAAACAAAGGGAGCTAGCCTGGCTCTGTCTGATGGTTACAAAATCTACCTGCACTTCTACATCACGATATTTCATTTAATAATAATATTCAATTTTCCTAGCCAGGGAACCAGCAGAGCTACTGGTCCTAGCAAAGAAAAATGAGATATAAAACTTTAGATGTTCAGTTTCCTGCTGCTTTCAGTCTTTATACATTATATTTAACAGACATAAATGACAGTAGTATTGATGTTTCATCTAACTCTCTGCAAGAAAGCAAACACGCAAAACTTCCCAAAACGTTAAGCTTTAAGTAAGCTTTGATTTTAGTCTGATGAGCTTCTCCAGTTAGCTGATGATGCTAGCCTCTACTGCTGAGAACTTCTGCTCTGCCACTCAATTCTGTATCAGCTTGGTGAGTTTAATCCCACGTTAACTTGTGCAGCTCTCTGGACAGTAACGTGTTCTCTGAGGAGTTTCTCACCGATGTTAGCAGAGTCTCCTTTGTCTCCACTCCTGGTGTAGGCCAGTTCCTCCAGTCTGTAGCTGTGTGGTCCACTGGGCAGTCCTGCACACACACATCAAAATTTCACACAGAAGATCTATACAATCAGCACAGTTTCAAGATTAGAGTCACCAATTCAGTATCTGACCAAATGTCTCCCCTTCTGTTCCTGAGATATGACGTTAAAACATGATGATGTCACAGTCAAGCTGACCTTTGACCTTTTGACCTTCATTATTTTATCCTGTTTGACATTTGTGTCAAGTTT